TTTTTCTTATTTTACTCTTGCATATTCATTAATTTTGAAAATTGTTACTTTAATTTTAACACAATTGATTTAAAATTTTTGCTTTTCATTTTAGATTAAAAACTTTTTGTAGATTTTATGCTTTCACAATTTTCTTGTTTTCACTTTTCACGTGATGCTGGCAAATATGTAGAATGAAGATGCTGCGAAAATGTGTTGAATGATGATGTCGTAGAATGTGTAGAGGTGTATATTTTATTGGTTATAAATTACAGGTTCAGGTTCTCGAAATCCAGATTTTCTGGATCTGATAGGAATGTTAAGAATTTTGGACCAGTGCCATTTTCTCCCCAGATTGATCTTTGAGCATCCATAATCAGGTCACATGGGTAAGAAATTTCTTTTATTTAAACTTTTAAGATTATTTGAATTTTTAAAGATTTAATTTTGGTACAATTTAACTTTGGAAAATTTATCAATTGATGTTCTTCGGATGGAGGTTGAATCAAAAAGGAAGTAAAAGTTAAAATGTGCTTAATATAAGCCGTAGAAAAGAAAACCTGATGGAAATTTTTGGTAGTAAATGTCAAGAAGATGAATAAAATCTTTTACAATTTACAATGTTGTAATAAAAAGTATCTACATGTCTTGATATTACCGCCCCAATGTCAGATATTTTATCAACATTTTTACAGCATTTCATAATCACTTTATTTTCGGATTTGCAGCCAGAATCGAGAGAAAAAACATAAAATATTCAAATATATTCTATATTTTTCTCTGAAATACCATATTTTATTAATTAAATAGTAAAAGTCATTATTTATATTTATTTACTTTAGTAAATTATACTTTACATACGTTCATGTATGTAAAAATTAGTCGAGACACAAACCTCGATATTTTACATCAAGCAAATTACAACTGTGCAATTGCAATTTGTGCCATAAAAGAAATGAAAAAACAAAAGTAAAAAAAAAAGCAAAATCAAGAAAAGAAAACAAGAAGAAGACCAAAGTCCAACTTAGATATTTTTAATTATAATGGTAAACTTTTTTAAAGAAGAACAAAATAAATAAATTAAAGCAAATATAATTAACAAAAAGTAAAATCAATTATAAAACCAAAATAAATAAAAACAAAACCAAAATCAAAGCAAAAGCAAAACGCTTGTGTGTTTCTGTTTTCTAGGGTAAGTAGAAAAAAACCAAAATTTGTATTCATAATAATTATATTCGGTGTATATTTCTCCCCAGAATATTAATGAACAGAATGAGGTGGCGAAATATGGATGGAAAATAATTCCTTGGCTATCCTGACTATCAATTAATTCACTCAATGTTATACTTAAAACCTTATGGAGTGGTAATGAAAGCCACTTTCTATTTAGCTGATTCAATTATATATATAAGTATATGATATCAAAAGTTGTAAATTTTACCATTGTGGTTGGTGCTAGTTATACAGTGTTTTGAAAACAGAAATTTATTTTTTAAAAATTGTCATTCAATAAATTGTAGATTTTCAGTAAATTTCTTTTATAATTCAAATTTTCAATATTTTGCAAAAACGCCCATTACAAACCGGATAATTCGGTCGATATTCGAAGCAGAATTAGATGGAAAAAAAGGCGGTATTTGTATTGCATATTGTATTGAATTGTAATTCTTGCAATCAAAACTACTTAGTATGTGTTTTTATAATGTTTGAATTGTATTCGCTTATAATGATTTTGTAAGATTTGTAAACAAAAAATTTCACCAAAACCTTTTATTTTGCTTATATTAAAGAAGATTTTTCAAATAAACATCTAAAAAAAACTGTCTTATTCAAGCATTCATTTAGTTATTTTGATTTGCTCCTTAATTTCTGATTAAAAAATGCAAACAAATTTGTATGTAAATAAAAGTATAACTTTTTAAGATGATAATGTTTGTTTATATCCAATGTTATCAGCAATTTATTCTCTAGTTTGCAAAATAGGAATATTTTTGAAATAGTTATTCTATATTCTATTCTATATAATCGTAATATATGAAATTAATAGTAAAAAATCTAGTAAAACAAATAATATTTTACGTTTAGAGATTTCTGTTTTATATTGGTTTTAATAAAAACTAAAATATTTTTAAGTATACAAAAGATAGAGTACGTATCAAATAAAAAGAAAAATCAAGTGAATATACATACATAATTTAAAATTTTTTTTTTTTTAAATTCTGAAATTTTAAGCTCTAATATCTTTCCCATGAAATGTTCCTACAAGTTTTCCTTGTAAATCTTCAAGAATGTAATAGTTATTCCCAAGTTTTTCTCGAATCCTAGCCTTTATAAATACTGGTGATAGTTTGGCATTAAATCGTTTCTCAAAATTGCTTTGTGCGAAATTTCTCCTATATATTTCCTGGCCAACTGTAAAATGTTGAGTCTTAGCTCGAAGATTATATTGGTGTTGGTTTCTATTATAAGCTTCATTTATATGTTTGCGTATATCTTGACGAATTAACTGTAGTTGATCATCTCGTGTCAAATTCGCAGAAGGCTCATTAAGTAACTGAAGGTTCCTTAACAATGAATAAGAGGATGCATGAGTGACCATGTCAAAGCCAAATAAAGCGTGATAAGGTGAGCATCCGATGGATTGATGATATGAGTTACGGAGAGCACAACTAATAGCCGTAAGATTTTCGTCCCATACACGTTGATCTTTCTTAAGATACGCTCTTATACCAGCAATCAGTGAACGATTCACTCGTTCAGAGGCGTTGGATTGGGGGGAGTAAAGTGCTGTATACGTGTGTTGAATTCCATAGGAAGTTAGAAAAGCATTAATATCGTTTGCACGGAATTGACTACCGTTATCACTTACTATTGTTTCCGGTACGCCATATGTGTGAAAAATAGATTTTTGCAAAAACTCTTGAATGGCAATAGAAGTAAATTTCCTTAATGGACACAACCAGTGGAATTTGCTGAAGTGATCTAAAACTATAAGTAAGCCAATAAAACCAGTTTTACTTCGCGGATACGGTCCCAGAAGGTCTATGTAAAGGCGCTGGAATGGGCGAACGGAAGTGACTTGATTTCCCATTGGCGGTTTCATTACAAAATTTGGAGATTTTGTCACTTTACACGTTTCACAGTCACGAACGTAGTTTTTCACATCTCGCACCATTCCAGGCCAGAAAAAGTTTCTTCTGAGAAGCTCAATGGTTTTACTCATTCCTCCGTGAGCTGACACAGGGGCATCGTGTGCTCTTGCAATAGCGGTTCTTCGAAGACCATAAGGAATCCAGAGTTTCCAGCATTCTTGTTCCTGAGCTTCTTCTCCAGAATAGTGTTGCGTGCGATAATAAACATATTTATCCACAATTTTTACATCAGGATATTTTGCCTGGTTATTGTTTATTTTATCTTTTAAATCTAGGTAATCTTTATCATCGAAATGCGGAGAATTTAAATCAATTTCCGGTTCACTAATTTCTAAGGCAGATACTTCTTCATCAGGAATTCTTGACAGCGCGTCCGGCACGATGTTATCTTTTCCTTTCCTATGTGAGATTGTAAATTTATAAGCCTGCAACTTGAATACCCATCTGGCCAATCTACCGCTTAGATCAGGCTGTCTCATTAGCCATAATAGACTAGAATGGTCCGTAACCACTTCAAACTCTTGCAATTCCAAATAGCATCTAAATCGTTTTATTGCCTCTATAGCTGCTAAGCATTCCCGCTCTGTGACACTGTAATTACGCTGCGCTGAATTTAACTTTTTACTCATGTATGCAATTGGTTTTTCGTTTCCTTCTTCATCCAATTGCACCAGAACTGCGCCAATGCCGTAATCACTAGCATCACAGTGCAGGAAGAACTTCTTTGCAAAATTTGGATTTGACAAGACCGGAGCAGTGGTTAGAAGCATTTTTATTCTGTGAAAGGCTTGATGAGCTGCTTCTGTCCATACGAATTTTTTCTTTGTAGATAGCACTTCAGTTATGGGGAATACTTCGCTGGAAAAGTTTACGATAAAGCGACGATACCACCCCGCCAATCCAAGAAAACCACGAACCTGCTTTAAATTTTTAGGTGTAGGCCAATTAATGATAGCTGAAATCTTCTCAGGATCAGTTGTTATCCCTCCGTTTCCTATGACATATCCCAGATAGTTCACCTTAACAACGCAAAATTTAGACTTTGATATGTTCAGTGTTAAGTTGGCTTTTCGGAACTGAGACGCGATTCGCACTAAAACTTCTAAATGAGTCTCAAAATCTTCAGATACAATTACTAGATCGTCCAGATACCCAAAGACGCATTGCCGTAGATCGGGAGGTATAATTTCGTCCATTAATCTACACATTGTTTGAGGGGCATTACACAGTCCGAAAGGCATCACTACAAACTGATATAGTGGTCTGCCTGGGACTGTGAATGCCGTCAATGGTTTGGACTTATCATCAAGGGCAATTTGCCAATAGGCATCCTTCAGATCTAACTTGGATATGAGATTCGCTTTTGGAAGCCTTGCAAAAATTCCCTCTATGTTTGGCAATGGATAAGCATCCTTTTTGGTGACTAAATTCACCTTTCTTGCATCTAAACATAATCTTACTTTATTTGGTTTGACAACCAAACGCATTGGTGAGCTCCATGGGGACGTAGATGGCTCAATGACCCCAAGCGCCAACATTCTGTCAATCTCACCAAACATCAGTTTCTCGACAGCAGGAGAAACCGGATAGAACCGTTGCTTGATTGGTGTAGCTACAGCTACCTCAATCGAGTGCTTAATTAAGCTAGTTCTTCCCAACCCTTGCTTTTCAAAATTAGGGAATAGTTCTATAACAGCGCTAAGCTGTTGGCGTTGGCTTAATGTGAGTGGGTAGGAATTTTCATCGGAATTATCATCAGACTTTTCTTTAGAATCGGACAAAACATCGGACTTTGCATCAATAACGGACAAATCAGACGGACAGTTGGACTTATCATTAACAAAAACTATACTTACAGCTCCAACTAGGTCTGGAAGCAATGCGAAGGTGTTCCAAAAGTCGATTCCCAGTATCAAACGTTGCGCAATTGATGGTATTATAAACAATTTAATAGGTTTCGATTTATTTTGAAAAGTGATGTTAACATCCAACCAACCGAGGACAGGTTGTGAATTTCCATCGGCCGTCTTGACAAAGCTCTTACATTTTACAAAATTAGGAAATTTTGAAAAATCAGTTAAGGCTAAATCGGATCCAACACAACTAATGTTGGCCCCAGTGTCTAACAAACCAAATTCATTAAAGTTCAAAAAATTCACTTTCGCATAATAGCGCTTATCTTTAGGATTCGAAACAATGGTAGACACGAGAAATTTGCGACAAATTTTGCGAATTTTATAAAATTTTCTTAATCTAGCTGTAGAACGTTTAGTTTTAACTTTGGGATTTACACATATGCTTGAAACATTGAATATTTCATTACGTTTTTGAAGATAAATCTCCAATCGTTTATGATACGGAAGTTTAGGGAAGATAATGTGATTCACATTTTCTTCAGAACTTTCATGGATAGGATATGAGGAAGTTTGACGTTGTAAAATTGTTATGGGCTTTTTGATATTTAAATTTTCAGAAATATCAAATTGAGTAAGACTTGACCGGTTTTCAATACTATTGGAATTATTGTTAGAGTTGTTATTTTCTGAATTTGTTTTAGAATATTGATTAAACTTTATATATTCTCGTTCATTCGAGGAAAAGTTTTGAAGTTTTTTGCTTGATTCTGTCGACGATTTGCACAAGTTATACAATTAGGCTTGTACACCTTTTTCGCACCACATCCATAGCAAAATATATTCCTGTCCCTTAGACAGTCCTCCCAATGGTGTCCTACCTCATCACAATTCCAACATTTTATGTCCTCTGGATGTTGCATTGCATCCACAGATATGTTATTTTCCGGAACATCACGTAAAATCTCATTGTCGTTAGTGTCAATTTCATTAATATACCGCCGAGGTAACATTGCATTTGGATTTCTACCAACAAAACTTTTTCTCACGTATTCATCACTAAGGAAGTGTTCTCTCATTTGCACAAGCTTTCGCAAATGTGAAATGGAGTGAATAGGAACATAAAGCAAGTCCTGGCGAATATCAGGACGAAGATTTCTTGCTAGAATTTCTATTAGTTCCGGTTCAGACATGGGACTGGGTAGGCGATCCATAATCGAAGATACTGCTTCATAAAATGTATCAAAGTTTTCAGCTGGTTTCTGTTTTCTATTTCTAATCTCTTCTCGTATGTCAAATGAGGATTTAAATTCCTTATATTGACACTTTATGGCATCACAAAAATCTGACCAATCTATGGCTGGTACTTGTTTATGGTATCGCCAATACCAATCCCTTGCCTTTCCCGTTAATAAAACGTGTAAATTTTTGCAAACGACTGAAAAATCGCCATTGAAATTGTCCCTAGTTAGCGATCGAATACGATATAAAAACTCATCCACATTTAACCCAGTAGCAGAGCCATCAAACTTTAAGTTCCAGTTCTGTATTACCGATGTAATTTTGTCAGGGTGCATTGAGGTGTTATAAGAGTTTGAATTTGAAAATATATTGGGCGAATTTAAGAATTGAGTATTATTGACATTTTCCGTATAATTGTTATTATTAGGTCTAACAGAACGATTAGGATTACAACCATTATTATTGGCTGTATTAGCAGATGGTATAATATTTAAATTTGTCAAAAGCCGAGTAATATTGTTTTCGATCATCTGGTTAATTTTGTTATAATCAACGTTAGTATCATTAGTATTCCGTTGAGGAGAGTGATGAGATTGTTGACGTGTTGGGGTATTCATTAAATTTGTATCAGGAATGTTCGAAACATGACGATCAGGAGTAACTAAAGTTTCTAAATTATGATTATCTGACTCTGCAAAGAGATTGCAAGATGCACTACGAAGGTTATAAGGCTTTGAAACTGCTCCTCTACCTTTGCCTTTTGTATTGCCTTTGGCTAAAGGTAGAAGTTTATTCACAATGTTGAGTTTACGTAACTCACAGAGTTGAAAGGATCTCTTACATACTGGACATTCTGAGGAATTTGCCAAATGCGATTCAATACACTGTCTATGATACGTGTGAGAACATTGGTTAATTATCAGACAATCTTGGCCTTCCGCCATAGTTTCGTTGCACACATGGCAAACTGAAGGTTCTATTGTTAATGGTGCTAAAGGTAATGGAGGTGGAATATTGGATGGTGGTGGAGTACGATCAAGCGACATTTTGAACGAAATTAAAAGAAAATCTAGTAGATTTTGGTGAAAATTTCGTACTCGAAATTCCCGGTTATAATCAAAAATAGAAACAAAAGAAAATAATGGTTTGAAGAAAAAAAAAAATAAATAAATTTCACTTGAAAATATCTCTGTAGGAAAATTTTAAACGTTATTTAATTATGTGTTGATTAATTCAACGACAATAATTTTAAATAATTAATCAAAAGAAATTAAAAAAGTTTAAAAGTAAAATTTTGACAAAAAAAAAAAAATTAAAAATTTTAATTTCCTTTTATTGCAAAATAGAACAGAAAAACTAATTTTCAATTTGTAATTGTATTATGTAATTGATAAAAAAAAATATATACAAAATTTTGGTGTTTTTATTCTCAAAAGATGAATTAATAAGTAGGGTAATTAACGATTTCCAAATTTGACTTATACAGGAAAACAAAAATAGGCTATGGAGTTAATCATAAAACCAAAAGTAAAATTTTATGTTTTGACAAACCGAAAATATACCATTAACTTTGTCTTTACCTTTACTGGTATATCCTATAAAACAAAAGGTCAATGAATTGTTACAAACGTATCAGTGAAATCCACTATGAATATAGTCTTTCGATATCTAAGTCAACAACAAAAAATATTAATTTCTAATCTTACTCTAACTAACATTCAAGTAATTAAATTTATTTGAAAATAATTATCGAAGTTTAAAAAAGTATCTACGATTTCTTGCCGGTCAGCTTATCCGAATTTTAAAACCTCAGATAACTGAAAAATCCAGGAAAGATCTATAAATTATTTTTAACTACGACTCATATCTTCAAATCGATTTAAAACTGAACTTTTCGAAATGAAATCTAAAAAGAAAAACCAAAATAACAGAGTTTAGAGCCTAAAAGAACACAGAAGTTCTTTCGGCCCCACGTTGGGCGCCATTTCTTGTAATAAATTCATTTTTAGGACTCTAAGATTTTATAATCTTAGCGAGAATAAACTCTCCTGTTGTTTTGCCATCAATCCAAGTTCTTTGGGTTATTCAAAAAACAAGGCAAGTAGCTGCTGAAAGTTATATTAGGATAAGGACTGCGGGAGCCTTTGATTTGCTAGCACAGCAGCCGGGAGGGGGGTTCGTGTCCTTTCCTAGTATAGCCAAGTCTCTTACAATCATTATTTTAGACTCCCTTTTTATTTAAAGATTTGAAAAGAAAGAAATTTAAACTAAACTAATATGGTCCAGGATGACTAGAAGATGAAAAAAACATGCCCCGCTCTAGTCAAAATGAAAGATATGTAAATATATACTACGTTATTAGGTATAAGTCAATCGGACTAACTATCTCCTAGATCTTGAGGAGATTCTCGTCTCATAACCCTCACCAACCAATCATTTCAATGACGACATAAATTCTTTCTTGAAATCCCTACCGTAGATATACCCTAACTTATATATTCATCTTTTTAATAATAAACACCTTGGAGATTAGTTTAGAAATTCATGTTGACAAATGAACAATTTATTGAAAAAAAAAAAACTTAAACTTAAATTATGAAACATTATTGTTTACAATTTTGAGAAAGGGAAAAAAAATATTTAAAACAAAAATTATAATTTAAACTAAATAATATTTACGACCGAATTCTGAACATGCTCTGTATGAAATTCTTACGTTCAATTGGTCGAAATAATATTTAATCGAAAAAATAAAATAATATTCAAGCAAAAAAAAAAAAAAATGTTTAAATAAACTTAAATAATAGGAACATACTTCTGATGAAATTCTAAATACGGTTTACCATTAGTAGTAAAATACTTTTGCTCTTACTATAATTAATATTTACGAAACATTTTGCTCAAATTTCTATCGAAGCTAAACCACTGTGCTTTTCAAAGTAATGTAAAAACATATTTGCGTTTATCTTTTTTGTATTTCTTGATCGAGAAACAAACAAAACAAAATCTCATAAGATAACAACAAAAACCACTTGTAATTAAATGTAAATGTTGCTAAGCCTTTATGTCAACATTTAACAAAATATCAACATGTATACATATGTATCAATTACTAAGCATAGAACTTGGCAGTGAGAGAACTTGATTTCAATTGAAAGCAACATGTTTACGAAAAAAAAAACTTTAAAATAATATCAGTTTTGTTCCAACATTACTCTCTTAAACAATATGTTTCCATTGGTTGTTGTTGTTATATTATGTTTGATTAGAATATTAGTCTTGAAGGTCAATGAACAAGAACTATAAACGTATGATTAGGTTTGAGATACATAAGATCAAACTTACCAACTTGACATCGAACTGCAGAAGGCCTTCCAGGGTAGCGATGCAGGTTGCTAAAGGAGTTAAAAGTTTATGGTTCTTGTTTGTGATATTATTTGCCAGTTAATTCATTATTTACGCGTTGTTTTGTATTTTGTTTCTGACTCTACATTTATTCACTTTGTATTTGCACTGTGGTAGTTTTTAGTGACTTTTGGTTTTAATTTGACTTAAGAAGTATTTTAATGAACTGTGATATTACTCCTTCTAATTTAGTATAATTTTTTAACTTTAGCACAATTTACTTTTGAATTAGCTTTAATTGCAACTGACTTTAGACGGTGATATTATTTATTAATTTTTAGGAAACTTGAACTGTGATAAAATTTTACATGAAACATGACTGTGATCTAAATTTACTGTGATATTTATCTTATTTTACACTTGCAGATTCATTAATATATTAACACAATTTGCTTTTGTTTTCATTTCAATATATGTAATTGACTTTTGGCTGTGATATTTTTCTTATTTTACTCTTGCATATTCATTAATTTTGAAAATTGTTACTTTAATTTTAACACAATTGATTTAAAATTTTTGCTTTTCATTTTAGATTAAAAACTTTTTGTAGATTTTATGCTTTCACAATTTTTCTTGTTTTCACTTTTCACGTGATGCTGGCAAATATGTAGAATGAAGATGCTGCGAAATGTGTTGAATGATGATGTCGTAGAATGTGTAGAGGTGTATATTTATTGGTTATAAATTACAGGTTCAGGTTCGCGAAATCCAGATTTTCTGGATCTGATAGGAATGTTAAGAATTTTGGACCAGTGCCATTTTCTCCCCAGATTGGATCTTTGAGCATCCATAATCAGGTCACATGGGTAATACTTTAGCAGAACTTGATAATCCTTATTTCTTTATTTAAACTTTTAAGATTATTTGAATTTTTAAAGATTTAATTTTGGTACAATTTAACTTTGGAAAATTTATCAATTGATGTTCTTCGGATGGAGGTTGAATCAAAAAGGAAGTAAAAGTTAAAAATGTGCTTAATATAAGCCGTAGAAAAGAAAACCTGATGGAAATTTTTGGTAGTAAATGTCAAGAAGATGAATAAAATCTTTTACAATTTACAATGTTGTAATAAAAAGTATCTACATGTCTTGATATTACCGCCCCAAGTGTCAGATATTTTATCAACATTTTTACAGCATTTCATAATCACTTTATTTTCGGATTTGCAGCCAGAATCGAGAGAAAAAACATAAAATATTCAAATATATTCTATATTTTTCTCTGAAATACCATATTTTATTAATTAAATAGTAAAAGTCATTATTTATATTTATTTACTTTAGTAAATTATACTTTACATACGTTCATGTATGTAAAAATTAGTCGAGACACAAACCTCGATATTTTACATCAAGCAAATTACAACTGTGCAATTGCAATTTGTGCCATAAAAGAAATGAAAAAACAAAAGTAAAAAAAAAAACAAAATCAAGAAAAGAAAACAAGAAGAAGACCAAAGTCCAACTTAGATATTTTTAATTATAATGGTAAACTTTTTTAAAGAAGAACAAAATAAATAAATTAAAGCAAATATAATTAACAAAAAGTAAAATCAATTATAAAACCAAAATAAATAAAAACAAAACCAAAATCAAAGCAAAGCAAAACGCTTGTGTGTTTCTGTTTTCTAGGGTAAGTAGAAAAAAACCAAAATTTGTATTCATAATAATTATATTCGGTGTATATTTCTCCCCAGAATATTAATGAACAGAATGAGGTGGCGAAATATGGATGGAAAATAATTCCTTGGCTATCCTGACTATCAATTAATTCACTCAATGTTATACTTAAAACCTTATGGAGTGGTAATGAAAGCCACTTTCTATTTAGCTGATTCAATTATATATATAAGTATATGATATCAAAAGTTGTAAATTTTACTATTGTGGTTGGTGCTAGTTATACAGTGTTTTGAAAACAGAAATTTATTTTTAAAAATTGTCATTCAATAAATTGAGATTTTCAGTAAATTTCTTTATAATTCAAATTTTCAATATTTGCAAAAACGCCATTACAGTTCGTCTAAAAAATGGTCAATTTGAAGGATCGGTAGAATTATTGTTCTATGTTTAAAAACGCGGTAATTTGAGGTTCCGATATGGTTGCAAATAACTTTGACAGTTTTCATGCTAGGGCAATAGTTTATGCATCATTTTAAAGCATTACAGTTGCACTTTATTTTGGTGTATAATTTGTGGCATAATGAATTTTTACAAAATTGGATAGATCGGTATATTTATTGGTACAGGTTTAAAAATGCGGTAATTCAAGGCTCCGATATGGTTGCAAATAACTTTTATAGTTTTCATGTTATAACAGTCGTTTATATATCTTTTTATTGCATTATAGTTGCCATTTGTTTTGGTATATAATTTATTGCATAATATATTTTTAGAAAATGGCCAATTGGATAGATCGGTAGAATTATTTTCACAGCTTTAAAAAGGCGGTAATTTGAGGTTCCGATATGGTTGCAAATAACATTGACAGTTTTCATGCTATGACAGTCATTTATGCTTCATTTTAAAGCATTATGATTGCACTTTAATATGGTATATAATTTGTAGCATAATGTGTGTTTTTACTAATTGGTGAATTTGATAGATCGGTAGAATTATTGTTCTATGTTTAATAAACGCGG